CACCAACAAAAGGGGGGGGGGGGGGGTTTTTTTTTAGCCACTGAACCTGTGTGTGTGCAGCAGTGGCCGTTAGGCACTGTTCAGGTCCTGTAACAGTTCTGAAAACCTAATTTTCTTCAGTTGGCTCTTTTATTTGCTTTATATGGTACATCTGATGCAGCCAAGGAGGGCAGTCAGTGGTTTGTGTTGGTCCTCTAGGGTCTTCCGTGACGCTGGGGTGTTTGTTAAATACCTGATGCTGCAAGAGAGGTCACAGCCTGGGCAAGACCGTGCTGTGCCTCATAACGGTGGCTTCCTTACTGCTGCGTTGGCTGCAGGAGGCCCTTGAAGCCCTGTTGATTCACACCAGATCATTTCACTTGTAGAGATCTGACTTCATGAGCTTAAGCGCACTCGTGCCTTGTGAAGATCTCGCTGTCCCAGACTGTCACCAGTTCCTCGGGCTGTTCCTGTGCCTCTCAATAACTGAACTCCAGTGTCCTGTTTGCTAAAGGTGCCCTTAGCGTGCTTTCTGGTGGCTTCTCTCACTGTAATCAGAGTATCCGCCATCCACCTGGAAAACTCACTGGTCATGTGAATCCCAAAGCAGCAGATCCCTTATGAGGAAACTCCATGCTGTTCCCCCTACCTGGGCAGTTTCTGTGGTCGTCTTCCCCTTTCCAGGGACAGTGTCAAGGCCCTTTAAGGACACCACCCCCTGCTGCCTGTATCAGACAGGATGTTCCTTTGGTGTCAGTACAAATTCCCAAATCCTGGTTTCACCTAAGTCAACAGACTGAGTGCCCTAAAGCTGTTCTAGGCTTCCCCTGTACTTTCTGTATGTCAAAGGATCCTTGTGCTCTGCTTTGGTTTCATTGCACTCACAGATGAAAACGGTTCAGGAAGCTTTAACAGAACTGTTTGTCTGTTCAAGAGACAATGGATGAGGGACTGCACCTCCTCAGTAAATGGTACGTAGCTTTGTTCACATGGACACTGCGTTGTTTGGGAACAGGGCTGCATTCAGCAGGGCAGTGCTGGGACTGCTGTTCCAGCACGGACTTCCAAAAGCCATCCATCGGTGGTGTCATAGTTTACTGCCCAGTTTCAGAATGGATACCTCTGTTGTCACTCAAAGATTAGGATGGTGGGGATAAGTTAATTACTGGTAATTCTCCTTTGTGTCTGGTACTGTTTGTTCCACTTTTTCCAGTGTCTGTGTGCTAAAGGCTGCTTTTTTGGCTGAAAGGAACAAGGTATGAGAACACACTTCCAGGGAGGAGGCAGAGCAATGTGCTCCGTGCAAATGGTAAGGCCAGAAGGACTTGTTTTCTAATAGTTTTGACACATCCACAGTTAGAACAGCTCTGTGGAACGCACTTTGAGAGTATCTCACAGATAATTTTTTTTTTCCTTAAACATAGAAAATACGTGTAACACCATTTACTTGTTTAGCCTAATTCCTTGTGATACTGGTTTAGAACTAAATCCAAAACAGAAGTTAGTGCAAGAGGATGCATGTTTTTCAGCCTACGAAGTAGAGCGGGGAGGCTTGTCCAGAGAGCTGTAATTCTTCTTTTAGACTTGATTGTACAGTGCTAGAACCAGAAGCACAAATAAGCACCACAAATGCTCTTCTGTTCTACCCAAATTCCTGCTCTAGAATTTGTACAGCATTTAGCAAGAGCACTGCTATGGGTGCCAAAGAATGAATGATTAATAACCCTACGGTGGGATGGGCTAGTTTTACATCAGCATGTTTATAACCAATGAGATATAGATATTCCACTTTCTGTATTTCTGTCCAATATATGCTGCAGGATAAACAAACCTGTTGTGTGGCTGCATCAGAGGTGAGTGTGACTAGGTCCTGGCTCACAGTAATACAACTTGGAGAAGGAAGGTCTGATAGAGCCCATGATCATCAGTATTTATATACTTACTTTGTGTAAATATTTCAGAAACCCTGAGGTAGAAATTCAGCAGCTGCTTGGTTGTTTTGCCTGCTGAAGCCAGAAAGTGATCTCATTCAGCAATCTCAGGAGCTTATTGAGAACCTTCCAGTGAGCATACCTGTAGCTGCCACAGTGGTTTGAGTTTGAACACAGCTTGGAACTGACTCAGATGACCTAAATGTAGATTCACAGCTCTCCTGTTGCTAGTGCCCTGCTCCTCTTCGCTTGACTAACAGACTGAGCAACTGGAACATGGGGACGCACCAAAGGAATAGTTGAATTCATTCCATTAGTCAACAGCTATTATGCAGATGAAGTCATAACAGCCAATATGACCAGACAAAATGAGAAGTTTAAGAATCAATTATCTTCTCTGAATTTAACCTCAAATTTATATCCTTTGAATATTCTCTTCCCATCTTCTTCACTGCAGTAGCACAGTTTGTCACTGCAGTACAAAAGTTACAGCACTTGCTCTGGAAGGAACGGTGTGTTTTACTCATTTAGCAGCAGGATCCTGCCATCTGGCACACGAAGTATTTATGTAAAAACCTTGCTGACCCACAATTCATTATGTGCTTTTCATAGCTCTTGTGGAACCAATTATGAACAACACGTAAGACGTCTTAAAGTCAAAACAGTCTTGAAATTACGTCTCAAAACAGGGAAAGTTAAAAGTATTTAAACAGTGCACAACATAGTGGTTGACATTCACTGCTTATGTTTCCTTTAAACACAGTTCCTTGCACAGTAGGCTGGAAATCATGTCTTAATGGAGTCTAGCTTTTTGCAAACATTTGATATCCTCTTCCCTAGACTAGCTGTAACTGTTAACACTCAGTTACTATTAAAAGTCTATGGTAAAACTGAGTTTTCTAACAGGATTACAGACAACTGAGTGAGTGGCCAGTGCATGGCTGTGATTTCAGCTGGGAGGTTTTGACTCATCAGAAAAAAAAACCAAACCACAGCACCCTAACTAAAACTCAGACCCTCACCATATACAAGCTGTATGTATGTATACAGATACATTTTCATACACAATGTTTCTGCCTCCATTCCCTTTTCTATTTTTCTTCTCTTTGCAATGGCTTTCCATTCCATTCCTTTCCATGCTCCTAGCCAGGACCCCAGAAAACCGAAGGATTAAATTAAAAGAAACAAATTCTGTTGAAATGAGAAATGTTATTTTCCCAGTATAAAACTTCTCAACACATTACAACAAGCCTTTATCCTTGCAAGGCAATTCTTTTACTTCTGGTAGGCCTTAAGCTACCAAGGTACAGATGATACTTACAGCCTCTTAGGTTAAGTGCTTCATTTATGATTTCAAATGTGAAATCCAATCAGTAGTCATGTACAAACACACCTGAAGCTTTAGAAAGTACAGATGTTCAACAACTTACGTTAAGATATATGCTCTGAGCATACAGGCAGTTGTTTTCTGATTCAATCAAGTATCTGTGCTAGTCTTTTTCATACCATCGTCCATATAGAGCAGCTGTCAGTAGGCCAGAAGATGTTCTATTTTTGCTTATGAAATAGTGGTTGTTTTTCCAGCCCATGTGATCAGCAAAGTCCAAGGTAATACCAGATGTCAGCAGTAAAGGAAAGATATAACGGGTACTCATATTTCCCCATAGCTGGAAATCTATCAGAGCAGTGGCATGTGTAACCTCCTCTCCACAAGTGCTGAAGTTGAGACCACCACACTTCACTAACGCACAGGCCTGGACATAGTACGTGCCATGCACTGTATGGAGCCCATCAAAAACTCCCAGGGCATATAATTCATCAGTTAAACCAGCTCTCTGATAATTTAAGTAACAACAAAGGGTATTGGCACAAACTTGGAGCTCTCCTTTTTCCCCCCATACAGGAACAAAAGTGAAGTTGTCATACATCATTTCCGAATAAAATACGGGAAGTAACTGTTCGTTTCCTTTTTCTGACACGCTGCAGGGGGTCTCTTCTCCCTCTCTAAAGCAAACTTGATCATCCAGTGAGGTGCCTATAGAAGTCTTGCATGAGTGATGCAAATTCTCTCTGACTTTTTCATTACTCTCCAAATTGGTTTCATGATCTGTAGTAATCACAGGAATTTCTGCTACTATGAGCTTGCCACCGTAACTTTCCATGTTGTGGTAGACGAACGATTTGACTGGCGTGTATATGCCACTTCCTGTCATGCCCAAGGTAGGGTGGTGGATATTAGCTGCTAAAATATTGATGTTGAAAGCTGTTGCAAAAGCTTGTTGAAACTCTACAGCAGAAAGGAGCGGGAGCTGGTTCATCCAGGCAGTTGGATATACAACTTGTTTCAAATTGTATTTTCTAATGAGGTTCACTGCAGGCTCAAAAAAAAGTATATCAAAGCAAGTGAACATACCAAACTTGCCAGCAAAAGGGGTATCAAAGACTTTATAGTCAGGCTCTGGTGGGGTATCAAAAGCATATTCAAAGTACAGATTGTGTTTGCGGTACGTGGCTACCAGCATGCCATCAGCATTGAACGCCACGTTGGTATTGAACTGGTATCTTCCATCAGAGGGACAGTGAGGATCTATGTGCTCACAGGGCTGCTTAGTTCCCAAGTTTGCCACAAGGAATATTTTGTTCTTCAGTGCCATGCAGCTCAGACGCTGAAGAACCTGGAGAACAGCAGGGGGACATGTAAGCACTTCGGAGTGTGGAGGAGGAAGTTTTACTTAAGCAGCTGTGACTTAGTTAATACTTTTCAAATTATTATTTTCAACTGGAATTGAACACATTTGACCATATCTGTAAAATTTAAAAGTTCTGATGATCTGGAACCAGTAGCTTCCTAGACTGAAAAATATTTCAAATATTAATTTAAAAATAGCACTGACAAAAAAAAATAATCTGGTTTTATATCCTGAGATGTAAATAAATCTCTTTGTTTCAAGGGTATTAATTTTCAGAAACTTCTGACTGTTGCAGGATCACCAGTGGTTTAAAACACCACAGATCAACTGAAAGGTTTGACAAGGCAATGTAACCCACCTGTGTGTCTGCCTTTAGAACAGCAAACATCTAATTATGATCATCAGTGGCTTTCAGCTGACAGAGGAGAGATTTAGTTAGGCACTAGGAAAAAATTTACTGTGAGGGTGCTGAGGCCCTGGCACAGGGTGCCCAGAGAAGCTGTGGCTGCCCCATCCCTGGCAGTGTTCAAGGCCAGGTTGGACGGGGCTTGGAGCAACCTGGTCTAGTGGAAGGTGTCCCTGCCCGTGGCAGAGGGTTGGAACAAGGTGATCTTTAAGGTCCCTTCTAATCCAAACCATTCTATGATTCACTGATTTGCACCTGTAATGGCTTGTTCCTACAACTAGATATTTTTAATCTAAAATAAAAAAGAAAAGAAGGATTTCTAGCTACAACTTCAGAGAAGCAGAGATGTAAATGGATAGACTTTGCATAGTTATAGAACAGAAATACAGAAAATTACAGACTACAGTATTACTGGGGTGTTTTTTCCACACCATAGGTTGTATGTACCAGAGAGTGCCAGTACTGCAATATCCAGATAGGATCTGAATGGCAAACTCAGCTCTTGCTTGCTTACCCTTAGATAGGAAAGATTCACAGGGTGAAGTAGGTCACCATTTAAAACCCAGATTCATGTCTGCACACAAATTCTGCTTAGTAGGCACCTGCATAATTACTTCCATTATATTGACTATTGTAACGTTAATAAGAATAGTCTGTTTTACTAAACACGGTTATTTTCACTTCAGGTTCAGAACAGTGGATGAAAATACCAATTTTGTACCATGCAGGTCCCACTTGATCTGTGCCAAGTTGTGACTTCTATTACATTATAGCAGGTCAAGTCCTGTTACTTGTGCTGATCGTTTCACACACAATCACTGAATGTTCTGATGGTTCAGGTCATTAAAACTGCATCATGGGAATGCATCAGAAGTGAAGAAACAGCTATGTTGTTTTATATAAAACAATGCTGTTCAAAATTAAACCACACAATGTATCCAATTAGAGAGCAATTACCATTTCATGGGTTGGGAAGGATGAGATGATAAATCCAGATGGTTCATAAACAAAATAATCCTCTTGCATGTAACCCCTCCTCTGCTAAGAATGAAACCTGCATAAACTTGAGAGTCCATGAAAACACAACCTGGTACTATGAGTTGTGGAATTTCTTGCTTACCTCCCTAAGCAAAACAACTACAGCCAGTTTCCTACTTGGAGCACAAATCTAGCATTCAGTTATTTCACCTCAGCAGAAATCATTCCTACATTTACCTCTGTGTCATTGAACAAATACGGCTCTCTGCACGGATTCCACTTCACAGACTGTGAATGCAGAGCGAAATCCAAGTAAGGATAAATGGAGCTTCTGGTGAAGTTGAAGCCATGGATTCCATCTTCAGGAAAAACAATGATCTGTGCCCCCTGTATGTAAAACAAAGACGTGTTTTGTAGGCAAAGGAAAACCAACCTAGATACGAAAGGGAAAAAGGGAATCTCTTGGGTAAAAAGAGTTAAAGAAAGTAAAGGATAACCCAAGTATGTTTCGACAAGAATGTAGTTTCGAAGTATCTCTCCCTTGACTTCATAGTAGGTATAACTATCTGTATAAAAAAAGCTTATTTAGCCTGACATATACTTCTTACCTTGAAAAATAACTTAGTGGACCCTAAAGGCGTGCAAATAAGAAGAGATGTCACTGAAATTCTCACCAAAAGTATTCTCCATTCACATGAATCACGAAAATGATATAATTCAGGTTGAAGACTAATCACATTAAAATTTGCCTTAATTTCTTTTTCAGAATTACACTATTAGCAGATGAAGTTTGTCAAAGGTGCAGGATCATTTAATCCAGTCTATATTCCTTGATTAGGTATATGGGGTTGGATAGAGTACCGGGAGCACTGATTTTAGAAACAGCTTGACTGTGCTTGGATGGAGCTTTGAGCAACCTGATCTAGTGGAAGGTGTCCCTGCCCATGGCAGAGGGGTTGGAATGAGATGATCTTTAAAGTCTCTTCCAACCCAAACCATTTTGTCATTCTACTGGGGGTGTTGGTTGATAAGAAACTGCACATGAGCCGGCTTCAGTGTGCGCTTGCAGCCCGGAAACCAACCGTGTCCTGGGCTATAGCAAAAGAAGCATGACCAGCAGGTCGAAGGAGGTGATCCTGCCCCTCTGCTCTGTTCTTGTGAGACCTCAATTGGAGTATTGTGTCCAGTTCTGGTGTCCTCAACATAAAAAGGACATGGAGCTGCTGGAGCAAGTCCAGAGGAGGGTCTCCTGGAGCACCTCCCGTATGAAGACAGGCTGAGAAAGTTGGGGCTGTTCAGCCTGGAGAAGAG